GGCCCGAACTTCTATCAGACCATCACTTGAGGCCCGAACTTCTGTCAGGACATCACCTGATGCCCAGAGTTCTACCAGAATATCGCCCTCTCACAACGGTTTTTCTGACTCCGGTCTCTTACCAACTACGGTCCTTCTGACCTCCGTCGCCTACTATGGTCCTTCCGACCTTCATCACCAGACAATAGTCTTTCTGACCCCGGTCTCTTGCCGACTACGGTCCTTCCAACCTCCACCACCAGACAATGGTCTTTCTAACCTCTTTATCCTGCTGACAACGGTCCTTCCGACCTCCGTCGCCTACTATTGTCCTTCCGACCTCCATCACCAGACAACAGTCTTTCCGACCTCTATCCCATCGACTATGGTCGTGTCGATCAAACAAACATGTCTATATTGTAACTCCCACCATGTAATGCACTCTATATGATGCACATTTGTAACATCAAGCCAAGCCCTTCTCCCTAAGAAGGGCCTCATTTGTAATCGACTGCAAATACTAGTTGATTCATTCAAACTGGGTCATGCCCCGTGGTTTTTCCCCCTTTTTAGGGGTCACTTAAAAACTCTGGTGTCTCTTATGAATGCTTCACCCTCTCTCTTATATGATTGTGTGCTGAATCTTCGTACAATGCTAAGACGTTAAACTATATATTTTTCTACCGCCGCGAACACTCCAAGACGCAACAAGTACCATTGCCAAATTCAATGGTACCAATTATTTCTTGTGGTCTCAAGGTGTGTTTTCTCATTGACTCACATGTTAAGCTTCACGATTTGAACTCTCTGGCTCTCAAATAGATAGACACCAACAAATGTACAAAGTTACAAGCCTTTTACTAAACCATTAATGCATGGATGCTCAATAATTTTCAACCTACTTTGCTTCATCATCATGTTTCTTCACTTAACACTTGAGTTTACTATTTGGTTTTCTTCCAAGCATGAAGAAATTACTTTTTTTTGCTGACACAAAAGTGCTATTAGGGCTTTTGGTTGGAGTCAAAACTCTTTTACACATTGATTTGTCTGACTTTATTTCTAAGGATCTTAGTATGAAGATGATTGATGGCATTGTTAAAGTTGGAGGCATTTATTATCTCTTTCATGCTACATTTAGTACCCTCTCCTTCATAATTTTTCTTTATGAGTGGGCATTGACCTTGTCTTCTTTGTCAACTTCCTCCTTATCATCTACATGGTTTCTCATTTATTTCTAAATTTGATTGTGAAGCATATGCATATCATAAGCATTACCATGTCTCTTTTTTTTTTCTATCAATATCTTCTAATTGCTGTTGTTGGGGACGCGAGAGTAAAACATCGCAATGAAACATACAAGAAAGTAAAAGTAGCTGAAAGTAAATGACACTAGGATTTAACGTAGAAAAATCCAAATTAGGGAAAAAAATCACCGAGCCACACCACACTAAGAAATCCACTATGAAAATTTGGAGAAATAAATACAGATTTTTCTTTCTCTCTCACTCTCTCCTTGTTTCTCTTCTCACATATACTGTTCTCAATGTTTACATTCTCAAAATACAAGAGAAAGCAAAGTAAATAACCTTAAGGGACACAACCCTTCAGAAAAACGAGAAAAAAAAATTGTCTAGTCCATCTTGCAGCACTGTGCCACGTGAATCTCTGTCTTGATCTGATGTGGTGTCGTATCTAGACTGATGTGGTGCTTTGCTCAGCCGTTAAGCGCTATGGCGCTCAGGAACACATTGTTGGAGCTCTCGGGTACGCAGTGATGGGACACTCTGGTGCACAGCATCAGGGTGTTGCACCCGAACCCAAGCAGGGGGTAAACACCTGCACCCCCCATCAAGCACAAGAAACTTGAAGTCCGAGGCAATAGAACGACCTAATTGATCAACACAATCAGATTCTACACATAAGAATCTCCTACTTGGAAACCGATTGAAACCAATGCTTTTCACGATCTGAGCCATCAATCATAATACATATAGTGTGGCTCACCCCTATTCTCATCCTTCATGAAAACCAATAGGAGCTACACACAGCTTCAGTTTATCAACTGTCACCATCTGCGTTAGCATGTTTCAGGATCCTTGGTTGTGTGTATCTTCTCCAAGGATAACTGACCATCTTCGAGAAGCGACCCGATGAAATGATACCGATGCTGGATGTGCTTCGTCCTGGCATGGAATGCAACATTATTGGCTAGATTTATAGTGCTCATGTTGTCACTATGTAGCTTCTCATTCCTCTGCCCCTTGTCAAATTCTGCTAAGAAACTTTGCTACAAAATCATCTCCTTGCTAGTGTCAATGATAGCAATGTACTCAGCTTATGTATTTGAGAGCGCAACAATGTTCTATAACTTGGCAACCTAACTCGTTGCAGTCTTTCCCAAAGTGAAGATATAATCTATTGTGCTGCTTCTCCCATCAAGATCTCCAACAAGATCATAATCTAAATATCCTTGTAGATCAATCCATGTACCACCAAAGCAAAGAGCTTTGTCAACTGATCCTTTCAAATACCTGAGAATCCACTTAACGCCTCACAATGAAGTTTGTCTTGGTTACTCATAAATCAGCTAACTACTCCCACTGCATATATTATATCATATATTGTGCAAATCATAGCATAAGTTATACTTCCAACTGCTGAAGCATATGGAGTTCTCCTCATCTATTCTTCCTTTGCTTCAGATTTAGGTGATTGTTCCTTGGATAATTGAAAATGACTATTCAAGGGGGTGCAAACTGGCTTTGCCTCACTCATGTTGAATATATGAAGCATCTTTTCAGCATACTCAACCCGAGACAGATTTAGTATTTTTGTACTTCTATCTCTATTGATTCTCATATCGAAAATTTTATTTGTTGGACCCAGATCCTTCATTTCAAACTCCTTTGATAATTGTTCCTTCAAACATCTTATGTTTTCCATATCTGACATTGTAACCAGCATGTCATCCACATACAAAAACAGAATAATGTAACAGTTATCAAGATATTTGAAAAAAAATAACAGTGGTTTGCCTGACACTTCGTGTACTCATTATCTGACAGAAAATTGTCAAATCTCTTGTACCACTATCTTGGTGCATGCTTTAGTTCATATAAGCTCCTCCTGAGCTTGTATACTATATCCTCATTACCTATGACTACATATCCCTGAGGTTACATCTTGTATAACTCTTCATCAAGGTCACCATGAAGAAATGTTGTCTTTACATTTATATGCTCTAGATGTAAATTCTCAAAAGTTACCATGCTTAGTACAATTCTGATTGTAGTCATCTTCACCACTAGAGAGAAAATTTAAGTGAAGTCCACTCCTTCTACTGAAAATCTTTAACTACAAGCCTGACCTTGTAGCACTTGCTTCCATCAGGTTCTTCACAGAAGAAGTATAGAGAGAATAAAGAAGGTCTACATATGATATTTATTGATTTAGAGAAAGCATATGATAAAGTTTCAATAGAAGTGTTATGTAGAGTCTAGAAAAGAAAGAGGTTAATAATGCTTATATTCAAGTCATTCAAGATATGTATGCTGGAGTTGTTACTTGTGTCCAGACACAAGGTGGTTTGCCAAGTATTTTCCTATTTCAATTGGATTACATCAAGGATCAACCTTAAATCCATATCTTTTTTCTTTTGTTATGGATGTTCTCACTACACATTTTCAAGAGGTTGTACCCTGGTGTATGCTTTTTGATGATGATATTCTTCTTGTTGATAAGACTAGAGAGGGCGTTGAAGGTAAACTTGAATTATTGAGGTCAACCTTAGAGTTTTAAGGTTTTCGTTTGAGTAGATCTAAAATTGAATATATGGAATGTAATTTTAGTAATAATAATTCTTGTGGGGGGATTTTGACTTTGGGTGATCAAGTCATTAGTAACGGTACACGTTTTAGATATCTCGAGTCTATTGTTCAGAGAGATGACGAAATAGATGGGGATATTATTAGTAGAATCCAAGTTGGATGGTTGAAGTGGAGGAATGCATCGGGCTTGTTATGTGATAGAAAAGTCCCCCTCAAACTTAAGGGAAAATTCTATAAGATGGTGGTTGGACTTGCAATGCTTTATGGTGTAGAATGTTGGCCATTAAAAGAGAAGCATAATATTAAGTTAAGTGTTACAAAAATAAGGATGCTCAGGTGGATGAGTGGATTTACTCTTAGAGACAGGATACGAAATGAGCATATACGTGAAAAAGTTGGAGTAGCTCCAGAGGAAGATAAGATTAGAGTCGTCTTAGATGATTTGGTCACATAAAACTACGGCCTTCTGATGACCCGGTTAGGAAAATAGATGTATTAGATTTTACTTATGTTAAGAAAGATAGAGGTAGACCTAAAAAGATTTGGTTAGAAAACATTAGAAATGACATTTGTTTATTAGATTTAAATGAGAATTTAACTTTTAATAGGGTACAATGGAGAAAAATGATTCATGTAGCCAACCCCACATTGTGGGATAAAGGCTTGATATTGTTGTTGTTATTGTTGTAGCGTTGAAGCTGAATCAGGGCTATGACGCATTTTGCGTATAAAATGACTAGAATGAAAAATCCAATAGAAGAAGTTGGTTCTCCTATTGCTCATACTACAGTTCTTTAGTTTCACAAAAGAACGGAACTTATTGAGTTAAATTATCATGTCATCAATGATGATGTTTTATTGAAGAAGATCATCATTTCTCATGTCTTTAATGAAGAGCAATTGACTAAAATATTTAATATAGTCTCTGAGATCACTTTGTTTCTCTAGCCTTCGCAAGAAGTTGGATCTTTATAGTACTTATGCTCCAATTTTAAAAAGAGAGTTATCATAAGAATTTTTTCAGTAAGTTAGCATTTCTTCAACATTTTGTCTTTATTCTGCAACACATCCTTTTAATTATGGATGTTCTAATTGCTATTTCCTTCCCATTTTACCTCTTAAACGCACATTTATGGTTAATAAGCAAGATAATTCTAATTTTCAACTGAATGTGTATTTTTATACAAACAGATCTTAGAGATGCTTAATCAGCAGCGAGAAACTAAGAAGTTATGCTTGCGAAGGACGCAGACTGGTCCCTGGTAAAGCAAAAGCTTGGACCGGAAAAGTCACATTCTACCTCGTGAGGGGTTTTGTTTTATTTGTAGAAATTGCTGTAAATTAAGGATCAAGAGTGTGTGGTTGTAGATAAGATTTCCCATCCCTTAATTAAGGCTTCGCTTGGGACGGCTTTCTCACTGCTTCTTAAAGCAGCTTTTTAGTACTAGAAATCTACTTTAAGAAGCAGTAAAAAAGCCGCCCCAAATGAAGCTAAGTTTGGTCCTTTTATTGCCACCCACGTTTTTAGTTCTGAGGTTGGAGCACTTGACTTTCTGCTCTACTTTTATTGTCAATGTCATTATCCATTGCATGGCTTGGGGTAGTTTTATTGACTCAGTTATGTTGTACTAAGACTTCAAATACGATTAGATTTGACCATACTTGCATTTTTAACAGCTACTCATCTGTGATGATGTTCTTTGTTTTGTCAAACCCTTTCATTTCTGCAGGGATAACTTCCAGTGCTTGAGCAGCTTGAAATGGAACCGGGGTTTAGGTTTTTAAGTTGCAAGGTAGGTTCATTAGTCCTTTATAAGATAAATTATTTTGTGCGGGGGCTGAAAGCTGTTTGGAAATCAATCATAATAAGCCATGTCGGTACCATGGCTCGGTGCTGTTTTCAGTATTGCTGACGTGACTTATTTTAATTGGTATTTAAATATAAAGTGGTATTTGACGTCCGCACAGAATAATCTCCCTTTATAGAAACATAATATAATAGAGTTCGTTTCTTCTCTCTGCTTCTGCTTCTAAGAACAGGGAATTGTAGATGCTGAATTCGCGATTAATCTAATGGTTAATTGGTTTGAGCTCTGACGACTCTTGATAACTAGGCAGCTTTTGAAAAATTAGTCCTGCTGGGTCCCTTTAGGCTCATTGGGCATGGCTTGGCTTACCCCAATACGCCCGGATGACCAGTTTGATGCTGATGTAACCCATCTTCAAAACACGAGTAGCCTGGTTTCGACTTGTTTCACCTAGCACCAAGTTCCGGCTAGTCGCAACCATTGTCTGACTCTAGCTTTTTTGCTTTGATCATGCTAATCTCTTTATTATCGCTCTTTTTTCATATCCATGCCTCTCTTAGAATATCATCAAGTCCAACAATTTTTTCACACTTCATTTTCTTTAAAGCCAAAAATCAGTTTTACTAATATGCTAAAATAAATAAAAAATATTTATTTTTATGTGCGGTGCTAATGTTACTAAAATTCATTGCATTCTCATAATTTTCATTAAAAAGTTTAGTAAAATATCATTCACCTTTGTTGAATATCCTTTTCTAATAAAAGCAATTTATTACTTCATCATTAATACACTTCACTTGAATTAAATCATTACTACTATCTCTTTGTTTAGCTTTTATATATATATATTAAAAAAAAAAAAAAGATATTAGTAATTACAAAATTATAAGCTAAAGAAAAAGCTAATATTTTATGAAGAAAAAATAAAAATTTTACATAGTCATCTTAATATTAGTTCAATATTTTTATTATCAAATATCAATTTACAAATTAAATAAAATTAATCTATCTAACCAATAGTTTTTTTAAATATTTTATAATCAAATATTAATAAAAATATAATTACATTTTTTATATTCTCTTTCTAGTGGCATAGTAATTTTAATAATTTTTTTATTTATAATAATTTTAAACTATAAACTATATACAATATGAAAAAATATTATAACAATATAGAATATTTTATCATTTAATAATTAAATACCTTTAGTTTATTATTAAATGACTATTATATTGCAGTTTTAAACAGCAATTCTTTTTATAATAAATAATTTTTTAGATGATAAATGAACACATATGCATAAATAAATCAATATTCAATTTTTTTTTTTTAAATGTATTTGATTATCATATAGCAACATGAAAACGACCAACTAATTTCATGGGCATTGTTCACTTACGCCACTGTCCACCTTTACGCGGGCGCGAAACCCACCACCGTTCTTATCTCCGATCCGTTTCCCGGTGATGTCTCGCCAGTGTCTCTCCTTTGTAAAAACCCTTACGGGATTAGAAATTGGGAGCAGAGATGGAGACAGATGGGTCTCTTTCAGCCGCGGGAGGCTTTGTATTCCCATAACGGATTCACAAGAGCGGGATGGACGGTCTCTTGTTCGCCCTGTGTAGAAAAATGGGCTTGAGAAATACATTCACCCGATTAGAGGGGAGCCACATTTTATGGGACCGATTCGAATTCAGAAAAGTTTCCTTCCGTGCTCGAGGCCATCGATCTGCAGGTTGCCGGGGAGTGACGGAGTCTGGGTGTATTTCCGGTGACAGGATCGCCAATCTCTTCGGTAGGGTTTTCGGTACATAGAATGGCCTTTTTTTCTTTTTCTTCTGTTCTACTTCCTCTCCTTTTTTGACAACTAAGAAAATTGATTTCATCATTTCCGCTCTTTGAGGACCTGCCACTACACTCTCTATGCATTTCTATGGCTAATGAGTTATTTAGAGAGTTTTGGGAGTATTATACTGCTGAATTACGAAGTTCTTGTATTGTGAGTGAGATTTTACAATCTGCTTGTATTCTAGCTTAGGATCAATATGAAAACTATATCATTGAACATATTTTGGAGATGGGAAATTTATTAGAGAAGAGCCAAATCATTAATAAACTTTTCGATCAAGTTATACAATTGAACCAGCATAAATTTGTTTCCAATATTATTTAGAAATGCCTAGAGCACGGTAACTCTATTGAAAGAGGACTCTATATTATGGAAATAACTGGTCAACTAAAAGGGAATGACAATTTGTTGATCTTAGATGATTAATGATGCTGGCTTTGGAATAATAGAAGGGATTATGCCAACATATGAGGCAAATGAAATAGTGAATTGAGATGATCAAATTACTTAGTGATTTGATTTATTACATCAAGTAGTTTAGGTCTTGTGGATATACCACTTGGAATTACATAAAATGCAACATATAATAAACATTAAGAAGACCACATAAATGATAACAAGAAAGAATGTAAGCAATAAACATAGTTTATATGTGCTCAAACAAATGTGTTAAAGTCTTACAATGCTACGCATGGTCAAATGCTCACTAATATAACTATTGATTTTAAAAATTATTATTTTCTAATCAAAATGTATTTTAATTCTATATTTAATTTTTTTAATATTATTAAATTTATAATGAAGTAAAATAAAATTTAAATTTATTTAAATCTTAATTAGTTAAATTTATTTCTTATTTTAAGTTTTTTTCCATTATTTTAAATCATGAATAAGTGAAATATAGAAAACACTAAATGATTTGATCAAATAATTTGGTGTTTTTCTAGAATATGTTAAATGAATTGATATTTTTGCTCTTTTTTAAAATTTTCACTAATCCCGTTTCTTTCAATTAATTTAATGATAGATAAGCTCCTTTTTAAAATTTTTCCTTATGTTTAATGTAAAATAATTTTATGGTATGAAAGAATTTTCATTGTGTTTTTGGATGCTATTCATCTATTTTGAGATTTTGATACTTGATTACACTCTTTTCTTTTCTTTTTCTTTTTTTTTCTATTTTTTCTCATACCCATCTTACCTCACTAACTGGATTAGCTAACAGTTAATGTCGTTTTCATTCATGTAAATTTCAAAAAGATGAAGCTGATGTTGGAATTGGGTTTTTATTTTTACAGCTGAGGGAAGCTGTACCAAGTGTTTTCAAATTTGCCCTCCTTTTCCATTCACTATCTGTGTTTGATTGTGGTTCTGATAGAAGGTACACAATGTCCTTATTCGTAAGAGTTTTCACCGTCTCTTATCGCTGCCAAACTTTCATACTAGTTTTTAGAGCTGTCAACCATTATGATAGATTGATAATAGCTGCACGTCCAAGAGAAACCGGTTTTATTTATCTTACCAAGTATTTTAGCCTATGAATTGCAGGATATATTGATCAAAGGACACACAAGCATGAATTAGAATAAATGGTAATAATCTTCTCTGAAATGTTAATTTTCTTATTTTGCTATATTGTTTTATTTTCATATATTTTAATAAAAGTGTGCTGAGACTTTGTATTATATGCCACCAAATTTTTAATATAAAGGCAGAGGGGTCCCATAGAAAAATATTGTCCTCTGTAGAGACCATCATTTATTAGATGATATATGACTTTAGTGGATGGTGGTGAGATCTGCAATGCTTTATGGTGCCGAATGTTGGCCATTAAAAGAGAAGCATAATACTAAGTTAAGTGTTGTAGAGATGAGGATGCTCATGTGGATGAGTGGCTTTACCCTTAGAGATAGGACACGTAATGAGCGTATACGTGAAAAGGTTGGAGTAGCGCCAGTGGAGGATAAGATTAGATAAAGTCGCCTTAGATGATTTGGTCACATAAAATGTTGGCCTTCCAATGATCCGGTTAGGAAAGTAGATGTATTAGATTTGACTTATGTTAAGAAAGATAGATATAGACCTAAAAAGACTTGATTAGAAAATATTAGAAATGATCTTTCTTTATTAGATTTAAAGGAGAATTTGACTTTTAATAGGACACAATGGAGAAAAATGATTCATATAGCTGACCTCCTGTAGTGGGACAAAAGCTTGATGTTGTTGTTGTTGTATATGACTTTTCTTAATTTGAGGCCCAAGTTCTCCTTACAAAGTGTCAAAGGATAAGATGGATCAAGCATGGTCATGAGGCACTATAAGATCCATTTCGAGTCAAGAGATAAATAAATAGGCACATCCCATTATACAAGCCGGGGAGCAATAGTTGTGATCGAGGGGGTCGAAAACCCATAATAAGTTATGTATATCAAACATTCTTCTTATGTAATGACTATAAACAATTACTCACTCCCCATGATAATATCAATGTAGGCAATCAATTTTAAAGTGTGTAAATGATAGGAACTACATATCGTTCAATCATCATCATTATAATTAGCCTAATCCACTAATAGGGTCTTCTTAATTCATTTTTATTGAGAACTATGTACAAAAGTTTTTAACTCTTTTTTACATTTTTTTTTTCCTAGCTTCTAGTTATGTTACTTTTTATCTGTTCATTTTTCTTCTTAGCCCTTCCAGCACAATTTTTTCTACCATCTCATTGTTACATTTTCCTACTTGCCATTCTATATGCCTAAATCATCAAATTTTATTCTTTACTGTTTTTTCTTCAATAGATGTTACTCCAATCTTCTTTCTAATATAATTATTTTTCAATTTATTATTTCTTGTTTTATCACATATCTATCTTAACATTTAACACATTTGCTATCTTATTTGTTCTGATCACTCATCAACTCAAAAAGTTTAAGCCAGTAATTGCCACTGCTAATCTCTTAGAAACTTTTATTTTACTTTCAATATGAGATTACAATTCTAATGTTAACTCTTTCCAAAATTTT